CTTTATCATACTATTCAATACATTCCATACCTACCTATAATTTCATTTTTAAATCTTAAACCACTTGATTTAATTGATCAATTTCCCAATCCTTCTAAGCAATATCATCCATTTTCTTTAATAATTGTTCATATGAATAATCCTCCAATTGTTTATACTCTTTCTCAGATTCTTATTTTAATTTTTCCAATTATAACTAAATACTTGCAATTTCTTCATTTTTCTATATAACTGTTGTTGTCAAATCTTCTTCCTTTGTTTCTAATAATTTCAATGTATTATTATAAAGTTCCTCCAAAGATTTATTTTATTGTTGTAATTTTAAATATGATCCCTCAGTTTGATTAAACTTTTCAATTTAATCTGTTAATTAAGTAGTCAATTCTTCTAATTCTAATTAACTATCTTTGATACTTTTGGCTGATTATTCTAATTACTTTTGTTTATTTTGATTTTCTAAAGTGATCCCTTCAATAAATTTCTATTGTTCTTAAATCTTCATACTTTGTTATTACATCTAATTATTATTTCCTTCAATAGTCTCCTCCAAAGATTTAATGATTGCTTCTTTATCTATTATTATATTTGACAATTCTTCAATTTTATCCTTTCCTTCTTTAATCTATGAATTTAAATCAATTATCTCCTACTATTTTTAATTAGTTTCAATTTGATGCTTTAATTATTCTTCATTCATCTTTCCACCAAGATCAGAAAGTTCTAGAGTGTGTTATTAGATTTTAGTCTATAATTGAGATTATAATTATAATTATTCTAAGTCCTTTCTTTAGATATCACTCTATAAATTTTGTATAGTTTCAATATGTTAATCAACTTGTTCTTATAATTCATTTATTTTTTATTCTGCTAAATCTAATTCTTAATTTAATCGTTTCTCTTCTTAAAACTTCGTTTCTCTATATTCATCATATGTATTCTTTAATTCTCTAACATGAATTTGTAAGGAATCATTCAAATTTAATTATTTAATATTTTCTTCTTATTATTACTAAATCTATAAATTTAATTCATCCATTTATTCATCCTTTTATATCAACATCATATTCTTAAGTTGTATCAAATCTTAATTTTTTTTATTTATTTCTGCTATTCTTTATTCTTGAACTATCTTTAAATCTTCAATAGTTTATTTATATGTTAATTCTACTTATTTCTTTTCTTCAATTAAATATTAAAGTTCTTCTAATAATTATTACTTATTCTATTCTAATTTTGAAATCAATTCTGATTATTCAACATTTGTTTATATTTAAGAATCAATTGCTTCATTTTATATATCATTCTAATGTTATAATTCTTATACTTATTTTTCATATTCACTTTCTTTCAATTATTTTTCATTTTTTAATTCTTAATACTTTTAATTCAATTAATTCAAATTATCTTATAATTATACAATCTTTTAATTTAAATTTGATATTTATTATTCTAGATTCTTTATCTAATCTTCCAATGATTTATTTTATTATTTGAACAATTATTCTGATTATTTTAGGTTTTCTGTTAATTCTAAGATCACTTATTATTATTTTTCTTATTCCAATTATGAATATGATTTGAATTTTTCAAGTTCAATACTTAAATTTTGACTATGATTTTTCAATTAAATAATTTCTTATTCTTTTTATTATATATCATTCTAAAAAGCTTCATTATTTTAATTTAATTTCTCTAATTCTTTTTCTTTCTCTTATATATATTCCAATCTTTATTCCATTTGAGCTTAATAATCAAAAAGTTATTAATCTAGTTTCTTAATTTAATGTTCTTTATCTTAAATTTCATTTTATTTTTACAACAATTATTTTTAATGATTAACATTTATCTCTTCAATTTAAACTTGATTATCTCTTATTATATTTTCAATCTTAACATTTAAATTAGAAATTTCTAATCTATATTGATCATCTTATAAATTAATTTAAGTCTAATGTAAAGTAACCATTAAATCTCTTTCATTAATCTCTTCTACCTACTTTGTATTTAATTATTTTAATTAAACTAACTCTTCTGATAATTGTAATACTTCATATTCATTTTTTAAATTAATCTAAATAATTTCTTATGTTTTTTATTCCAATTAAATTTACAATTATTCAATTTCTTTTAATTATTTTTCTATTTTTACTTATTAATCTAATAGTTATTATTTTAAATTCAATTTCTCTTAATTAAATTAACTCTATTCAATAGATGAATTCTTCTAATAATCATTATTAATTTCTTCTAAATTTGCAATCCTATTAGAATATTCAGCAATTAAACTTTTCTTTTCATCNATATGTATTTTTTAATTCTCTTATATGAATTTGTAAGGAATCATTCAAATTTAATTATTTAATATTTTCTTCTTATTATTATTAAACCTATAAATTCAATTCATCCATTTGTTCATCTTTTTATATCAACATCATATTTTTAAGTTGTATCAAATCCTAATTTTTTTTATTGATTTCTGTTATTCTTTATTCTTGAACTATCTTTAAATCTTCAATAGTTTATTTGTATGTTAATTCTACTTATTTCTTTTCTTCAACTAAATCTTAAAGTTCTTCTAATAATTATTACTTATTTTATTCTAATTTTGAAATCAATTCTGATTATTCAACATTTGTTTATATCTAAGAATCAATTGCTTCATTTTATATATCATTTTAATGTTATAATTCTTATAATTATTTTTCATATTCATTTTCTTTCAATTATTTTTCATTTTTTAATTCTTAATACTTTTAATTCAATTAATTCAAATTATCTTATAATTGTGCAATCTTTTAATTTAAATTTGATATTTGTTACTCTAAATTTTTTATTTAATCTTCCAATGATTTATTTTATTATTTGAATAATTATTCTGATTATTTTAGATTTTCTGTTAATTCTAAGATTACCTATTATTATTTTTCTTATTCTAATTAAGAATATTATTTGAATTTTTCAAGTTCAATACTTAAATTTTGACTATGATTTTTCAATTAAATTATTTCTTATTCTTTTTATTATAAATCATTTTACAAAGCTTAATTATTTTAAATTAATTTTTCTAATTCTTTCTCTTTCTCTTAAATATATTCCAATCTTTATTCCATCTAAGCTTAATAATCAAAAAGTTATTAATCTAGTTTCTTAATTTAATGTTCTTTATCTTAAATTTCATTTTATTTTTACAACAATTATTTTTGATGATTAACATTTATATCTTCAATTTAAACTTGATTATCTTTTATGATATTTTCTATCTTAACATTCAAATTAGAAATTTCTAATCTATATTGATCATCTTATAAATTTATTTAAGTCTAATGTAAAGTAACCATTAAATCTCTTTCATTAATTTCTTCTACTTATTTTGTATTTAATTATTTTAATTAAACTAACTCTTCTGATAATTATAATATTTCATATTCATTCTTTAAATTAATCTATATAATCTCTTATGTTTTTTCTTCCAATTATATTTATAATTATTCAATTTCTTTTAATTGTTTCTCTATTTTTACTTACTAATCTAATAATTATTATTTTAAGTTCAATTTCTCTTAATTAAATTAACTCTATTCAATAGATGAATTCTTCTAATAATCATTATTTATTTCTTCTAAATTTGCAATCCTATTAGAATATTCAGCAATTAAACTTTTCTTTTCATCTTCTAGTATATGTATTTGTTATTCATACTTTTATTTTAATTACAACATCTCTTCATATTAAGTTTATTTCTTTTATTCATAATTTTTTAAAGCATCTTCTCCTTATTTCTTCAAAGCTTCAATTTATTTATCTTTTGATTCACTAATACTAGTTATTAATTTGTTCTTCTCATGTACTTCATTAACTTAATCTTTATGTTATTAAATTAACTATTATAAATAAAATTTCTCTGTTTAATTTACAGATTCTTTCTACTATTCTTAATATAATTAATCATTCAACTTTTAAAGTTACTCTTTTTAACTCTCATTTATTTAATTAATCTATTTTAGATTTTCTTGACTCTCTTATAGTTTAATTTTTAAATCATTTACTTCCTCATTCAATTAAAAATTTTCTTATTTAAGTTTTTCTTATACTAATTAAATCTATTTATATTCATTCTTCAAATTTTCATTTTATGTCTATTACTCTTTCAACTTATATGAATTTTCTAAATTTGTTTAGGATTACTTTTATTCCTGTTATGATAAATCATTTTTCAATTTTCCAATTTCCAATTATAATTAATTGATTTCCAAACTTTATTAAGTTGATTTCTATATAGCTAATTATTCCTTTGAATTACTTTCCTTTAAATACTCTTACAATTCTTAAATTAAACTATTTTATGAATTTAATTAATCTTTTAATTATTAATTTGCCTCATTAAATTATTGAATATTTTATTCTTTATCAACTTCTGCCTTATCAACTAATGATTTTAATTAATTAATCTCATTTGTCAAATCAGAAATTTTATTTTAGAACTCTTAATATTATTAATTAGTTAATTTTGTATTTTTCTCTTTTTCAGCTATTGCTTAATTAAATTCAGATTTCTATTTCTCACATTATTATTGTAATAATACAATTTAATCCTATTTTTGAGTTAATTCATTTTAATATTTAATAACTTGTTATTCAAGTGTATTGATATGACTTTCTTTCTCAATAAGTAAAGACTATTTCACTGACATAACACTCATTCTCTACTCTTCCTAATCTTAAATATTTTATTAGAATTATTCAATTTAATTATTCAAATCCTAAATAATTGCATTTGCTTATTATAATTAAACCTTTTATTTTTCAATAATTTAATTTAATGAACTCTCACTATTTTGTTTTTAATTGTCTGCTTCATTTTTCTAGATTTTAGTTTATGTAATTTCAGCCAAATATTATTTAATTTATTATTCATATTAAGAAATAACCTATTTATTTTCTTATTCCTATTATCTCTATTGTTTCTTTAAAGACTTAATTTATTCAGATAATTATGTGATTTATTGATTATTTTAATCAAGTAAAACTTTATAGTCATCAATATTTTTTGATATATTTGTCTCCTATTACACAGAATGATCTTGCAATATTTTGATCTTCTCAGTCAATTATAAAACAAGACTTGACTTTTATGATAATTCATCTTTCTATTGTGTTATGACTCCATTCAATTAAGCTTCATTACTTTTGTAAAGCATTCTTTCTTAAATTAGATCAGAGGATAATTCTTAAATCTTTTAGTTTAATTTTGATATTTATTCTTCACTTTTCTAAAATTTGTCTTATAATATAAGGATTTAATTTTTATAATTAGATTCAGTTTCAGCCTAAGTTTATTCTGATATTTATTTTGTTTATTCTAATTCTTATTGTAATTCAATTTTATCTTGTTTAAGCTTTTCAATTTCTCTTGATTTAGCTTTATTCATTTAATCAAATTCAATTTATTTAGCATGAAGTTTTTATTATAATTCTTAATTTTAATTTTACAATTCATTAGTTTAATCTTATAATTCACTAATTTATTATTTCATATCAAATGTTCCATTAATAGAAGCAGATTCTAATTGTAAATTTAATGCTTTAAGTTCCTTTAATTAATTTTATAGATCTTCAATAATCTATCTATTATTTATAATTTCAAATTCAACCTCATCATATCTTTACTAAAATTCCTTTTCTAATTTCTATTTTACATCTTCAACCTCTTAATTTTAAAGATTTAATTAACTATTTAATTCTTTTAGTTCTTCAATTTTTTGAGTTAATTAATCTATTTTTTATTAACTTTACAATAGTTTTTCCTCTAATTCTTAATTTTATTATTTTAATTTATCAATCTCTAATTTAGATAAATTTTGTATCTGAGTTGCTTTGTTTGTCAACTATTAAATTTGAGAGAATTTGTTAGCGTTTTGTTTTTAAGATTCTTATAGATCTACTTAACACTTGTGCAATTCTGCAATTAATTTTACTCTCTCTTTTCCAAACTCACTTGTTTCCTTTGTTTCTTATTAGACTTCTTCTCTTATCTTAGATTCCCTAGATTTCATTTATTCAGACATGATAACTAAATTTTCTTGTAAGTCTTGTATCTTCTAATCCTTTTTGTTACAATCTCTCTAAAGATTCTCTATAGCTTTTTGCAATTATTCTATTGTTTCACCTTGTCTTGGATTGGAATCTTACTCATTTTCAGCAAATTCAAGTTTGTTAAGAACTTTATTCGTTTCTTCCTTATTTTACATTTACTGCTATGGATTTTTAGCAATAACTTCAGATTTTCTAGGAGGAGGTTATTATTGTTATTAAACAGGTGCAGCTTTCATCATTGACTGAAATCTTCCAGCCAACTATTTCACTGATAGCCTGTTTGCTTCAGGCTAGTCATCACTCATTTTTTTTAATTATTAGATATAAAGATAAACTCAATCAAAATAGAAGTCGAGAAATTAATATATATATATAAAGATAATTCAAAATAGCTACTACAATTTGATCTTCAAATCAGCTTAAGATATTCTCCTTCTAAAGGAGGTAATTTCCATTAATTTCTTTCCTTACGCTCATTGCTCTTAATTCTCTCTCCTAATATTTTATTATATTCATCAACAGTTTATACTTACTGAATAGTAGGATAGATAAATTCAGGCAGACTGTAATCACACTTTTTCTAAGATTATTCCATAATTGGTAGTTTCTCTCTATCTTTGAAGGAAGTATTTCTAAAAATACGTTATCTCTTAAAATGCAATTAGTCTTATTGTCTTAGTGCTTGATTTCCAAATTTCTTATAAAGATTTACATATTTATCTCTAATAAAATATTGACTATTCAACTTCCATTTTTCTAATTATTGATCCATTTATAATATAAATAAATTATTAATATATGGATCCATTACCATCATTTGCAGGAGATGATTCATAAATAACTTATCTATTTGCCTGGGGACGCAATAAAGATGGAGAATTGTCAATTGTAAAAAAGGATATTAATATTGTGATTAGGGTAATCAAAAGAAATGCAATGCCCCAAAAACAGTTCAAGGATTGAAGAATTAAATAGTTTAATTGATTAGTTCAGGTTCAAATCATTCAGGAATTGTAACATCTGATGGTCAACTTTTTATTTGTGGTTCTGCATTACATGGTTTGCAATTCAAATTTAAAAAATAATTTAGGTAAACTTGGTTTTGAAGATGCAAATCAACCATCTTATCCGAAATTCTTACTTGTTTAGGCTATGAAAGGCTTGTTTGTAACCTAAGTGGCAACAGGAGATTATCATACTTTATGTTTATTAGACAATGGATAAGTATATGCTTGGGGTGGCACTTTACACAAAAAGTTAGGATCTAAAGCAGGTAAACCAGCAAGAATAGAAACATTAAAAAAAACTATTGTTTAAATAGGTTGTGGAGATTTTCATAGTGCTGCATTAAGTTCTAATGGAGATCTTTTTACTTGGGGAGGAGGAGGAAGAGATTATAATAGAGGTCAATTAGGTCATGGACATTTAAATGATGTTGAAACTCCCTAAGTTGTTAAAGATAATATTGTCAAATTNAAATATCTAAATACTCAAGCTATTCATAGATCTTATTATAAAAATCAACTGCATATCCATTATTAAAATCAGCTACAATAAATTTAGTTTGAACTCCAAAACCTTATAATTCTAAACAAACTTAATCCATCTTATTGGCATTTCTACCTATTATGGCAATATTGAATTTCTATTTTGCCAATTAAATACAAAATTCTTTACCAATCCCATCTGATCCTCCTGTAACTACAGCCCAAGATTCTTCTCCATATCTATAAAGCAGATTTCTTCTAATTGAAGGTGTCAATAACATTACAAATTGTGACAATCTTCTCAATAAATACAATGACCCTGATAATTTTATAATCTTTTATATCTACCTACTCCCATCAAGAATGTTCTTAATTTTCTCTTTCTGTATAGATGTTGATAATATTTATGAATTAATTTGCTGTGAATCTACTTCAAAACTTAAAATCCTCTCTTTACTAATTCCATCTATTTCACAATTAAATAATTATATATATAAACTAATTATGAAATTCAGATATTTTTCTTCATTCAAATTAGTTTTTGATTACTTCTAGGATAGTTGCTTATGATTATGCTTAAAACCTTTTCTGAATTTGCTGATTTTATATTATTTTTTAAGGGATTATTATGGAGTTTAGAATTTGGAACTAAATTGCTTTTAAGCTTTATATTGGGCATTAGGTGCTTACTTTTAATAACAGTTAATAAATAATTTTGATATGAAACTTTGCCATAAATCCTTTGATATTTAGTGCGAACATTAAATATAAGTAACCTTATTTACAATTTCAAGTATATTTTCATCTACTCTCTATTTTTTCTTTACAATGTATTTCTAGGTATCATACTGTCTTTATGAGCAAAAGTGATAGATTGCATCAAATGATTATGTTAGTTGAGGGAATTATGATTGATTATTACTGAATTTTTGAAGTAATTCATCTTCTTTGTTATATGTAAGCCAAAATCTAAGAAATAGAATTTTTTGACAATAATACAATTATGTTGTTCTTTGATGATTGTGATATCGAGTACTTTAGGTCTATTAAAGTTATGATGCATAATATCAATAAGTTTTTCCACCATAGTCAAAATTTTTATTATATTATTTTTATTACCTATTCTAGTTCAACTTTTTAAGTTAATAGTAACTTTAAATTTGAAAGTAGTGATTCTTTTTACGAAGCAACCCCTATTATAAGTTCAGATCAGATTCTTGAAATTTTTTCATCTCTAAATAGGTCTAATTCTAATTCAAATAAATGAGCATTAACTAGAAAATTTTAAACTTCAAAAAGTAAGCTAATTACTTATTAAATTTCCTTCTGATGAAAAAATTTGGGGAACTATTATTTATTTATGAAAAGCTAAAAGAATTACTTATTCTAATAAAAGGCTCAAACAATCCTAAATTAGATAAATAAAAAAAGATTAATATTGCTTATGAAATAGCCAAATATAGATTAGATAAAAGATTAGTGCTAAAAAATAAAATTTTGGGATGTGGAAACATTATCAAATTGGAAATACACTTAACTCACCTAATATTCACAAGGTTTATCAAATCTAGAGCCAATTTTAAAATACTACTATTTTCATTGGAATTCTTACAAAATACTTTTAATTTTTACTAAATTTAAAGCCATTACTCAAAAACTAGTCATATATTAATTAACTTATTTTTAGAAGAAAACTAAATTTGAATTAATATATAATATGTTAATAAATGTATAATTTCACATTCTTGTGAACTCTTCAAATATTTCTTCTAAACTACTATGCATTACAAAAAACTGAATTAAATGATAGATGGGATTCAAGTCCATATTTTTAATACTCTAAGTTATCAATCTATAACAAATGATTCTGGCAAAAATTGTAATCAGTTCTATAAGGATTTGTGATATTATAATGTTACCAAAAAAGATTATAGCAACCATATATTATTCTTATTAAATTTATATTCTAGAATAGTAGAATAAAATACCTTAATAAATAAAATATAAGTAAGATAAGATTGGGTGTCAATAATAACATTATTAGAATAAAGTTACTAATAAAAGCAGCGATTCTTCTGAATCTATAAATAGCTTCAATTATCTTATAAAATATTCTTAATATCAAAATTATAAATGGATTTATAATTATGAATAGGAGAATGAAAAGAATTTAATTGGTTTAATTAGAACATTCAAGAATTGTTAAAGATAGTAACAAATTGAATTTAGTAATAATATTTAGAGTAAATTTTTAAGGTTTCATCATTTAATTCTTTTTATAGTAGATAATCAAGATCTGCAGAAAATCTTAAAGGATTTGATAATAGATATGTTGATTCGTATTAAATAAAATCTATTAGATAATCTTCTTTTGTAGCTTCAATATTAAATTATTAATTGAATAATTATTTTGTTCTTCTTTTAATCTACTAAAGAATCTAGTCTCCTTAAATGACAATAGGCTTATCGTTTACAAGAATTTTATTTTATGTTAAATCTATTATGGTTGGAATATATTATAATAATCCAACTATCATTTGATAAATTGTTTCATTTTTTATGTCAACTGTTGAGAAATCTGAATATATATCATCAAGAAGGTATAACAGATTAATTAAACCATCCTAAGAGTTTTCATATTATTAAAAGATCTCTTCATTCCAAATATATTTATTTTGATAAAGCTCCTCTTCACATTGTTTTTTTATTTTACTTAAATATTTTAGAGCTTTGTCTAATTTAAGAGTATTTTCTTTTAAGCCTTCTATTTTTTATGTTAAATTAATCTAAATTTCAGTGGGAGGTTTTGTAACATAAAAGTATGTTGTATATTGATCATAACATATTTATAGAGTTTCTTCATTTAATAAACGATTTTTAGGTTTAATTGATGTTGATTTGTTTAAAAACTCATTATATAATTTTATAGCCTTAAATTTTAGGTTATTATCATTTGAATCTGGCAAAATTGATTAATAAAGTAAATCATGATAAACTGCTCTATGTAATTGATCACAATTCTGATTCATTGCTTCAAATAATAATGATATCTTATTTTATAAGGTATAATTCTAATATTAAATTGAAGTACAATTAATATTAGCTGATTTCGAAGTCATCTTATCAAAAACATGAGATATAGATCCTCCACCATCGAGTACTTAAATAAGGATTCCTACCGCTGAAGAGTCAACAGATGTAGGAATCTTAAATGAGAAATAATTTTAATTCTAAAATGGATAATAAATTAAAGAATAGTCTGATTATCCTTACAAAAAACCAACCATATCTAATTCTCTCAAAAATAATCTAAGTTAATATCTATAAGGATAATCATTAGATTGTTAACATGTTGTTGTAACTTAGATATCATTAAGTGCTAAGTCACTTGAAAGAGTGATAAATAATTTTGAACATTAAGGAGGTTAATTTAAGGATATTTTTATATTATTTACACTTGGCATAATATTATTTGTATATTAAGCTGCAAATTTTAGATTGACATCATCCCCAAAATTTAATTCTTTAATAGTATTAAATATCTTAAATTAGTGAGAAATATATTTAGGCTATAGTATTTATATTATTTGATAGTCATAGATTATTGCTATTGATAAATCTAATAATTAAGCTTTTTAATATAAAGGGATAAGAAATGTAAAATTGAGTTATTCATAATTATTAATTTTTCTCATTAAATAACCTTAATTAAATTCTAGATCTAAAACAGGGAAATCATTGTCAAGGTAAACAATTATTTAAGTAAATTTTGAAGTTTAACTAAATTTTGTCACATTAACAGTCCATTCTTATACTGTAAAGGAGGAGATAGTATTCCTTCTGATAAATTAAAAAGTATTTGTTTTATTAACTTTAATTGTTTATTTTTATTCATTTTAACAAGTTCTATTTAATGTTAAATCCTTACAATCTACTTCAATATATAAATCAAGATCATCATTCCATTCATATTTAGTATCTAAATCTCTACAATAGATTTAGAGATTTAGATCTTATCTTATACTCTATATTCCTTAATTATTAAATTAACAAATCAATCCAGCAAATGGAACATCAAAAGTGAAGTTTTAATTTTAAACTTTCTAAGTATACAAATTTGTAGCAATTATTTAAAAAGTATAAGTTGAATTTGGACTTAGAGTGTATTATGAAATACTTGTATTTATATATTCAAAAGAAAAAGATTCGACTGATATATTTAATTATGAAGAAATTGATTTTATAGGGGATCTTTCTATTTCGAATAATTAAATCTAGTATTTAATATTATCTTTTGAAGTTGATAAGCCTTAATTACCAGCAGTAACACCAATTATAATTGTTTCATATACAAAATACGAGGGTTTTACATTTATATTAATTTAGGGGAGATCTCCTAAATGAGTGTATATTGTAAATTCTGAATAGGAATTGATATGAATGAAATTTTCATATTAGATTTTAAATTTTAATTCTGCATCACTTGGTAATGTAAGTTTAGGTATCAATAAATTATATTCCTAAACAAAATTAATCTAATCTATGAATTGACTTAGAGCAGAACTATCTTCAATTGCTTTCACTTAACAACTCCAAATAATATTATCTAATTTTCTATTTCCATTATTTTTGATTGATTTTAAAAACACAGAATTATCTGCAAATGGATTCAGTTTATGAAGAGGTACATTATATTCAATTTATGGAGGAAGTGGGTTTATTGGCATTTATAATATAGTAAAGATAAATTTTTCTAAAGTAGTTTCACAATTTATATGAGATATAGAATTACTTTTAAATAGAATTTCTTCACCAATATCTATTTTTGAGTATTCTCCTAAAGATATTAATAACTCCTAATTATTAGCTTGGTTAATGTAACAAACAGAATTTTAGCCAAATTTTAATACAGTTTCTACTTCAAATAATTACAAACATTTATTAACTTAGATTTATGAATTGAAGCCCTTTGGATTCAAAGGAAAATCAAAATGGATAATAATCTTACTAATGTTATCAGATAAATATGCCTTAATAACTGCAACTTGGCAAGCTAGATGTATATTAGAATATTGTACTTGAACACCAAGGCGTATTATTATACCAAACTGAGTTTGGAGGAGGTATACATTCCATTTCTTCATTTAATAATCTATTGGCAAAACAAGATAAGCATCCATCAAGATTACATTCTAAACAAGTACTATCACATTTTTAACATTCTTCATTTATTTGATCATCAAAATATCCAGATTAACATATACATTAAGGCTCTTGAAATCTATTACCTTTACAAGTCTTGCAATTCAAAGGATCGAAATCGCAAGTAGCACATTAAAATGCACATTCTATTCAAACTTAAATAATATGATACATGAGCATAATGTTAATCCAATTTCAAAATATCCATCAATACATTTACAATCAGTTTCAATTCTTCCTGGTTTACAAGTTAAACAGTTTGATGGTTCCAATATACATGTATTACATTAAGAAGCACAAACTATTTTAAACAATATTAAATTACTTTAACATGTAAGTTACTCATCTTCATAATATCCATCCATACAATTACATATTGGTGGATTTATTCGTATTTAATTCTAACAAATTTAACAATTATTTGTTTCATTTACACAAGTTTTACATTTCAAATTACATTTTTAACATATAAGTTATATTCCATCATCAAAGTAACCTTCTTTACAATTACATTTATCAGATAAAGACATTCGATTTGAATTTAATTAAAAATTACAACTTAAACATTAATCATTCTAGTTTATACATGTTTAACATTTGATATGACATTCTATTAATATAAATTTTAAATTTACTTTAACAAATCTTATTTTCATCTTAATAGAATCCAGTAATGCAAGGACATTTATGGATAATTGATTAATCAATTCGTTTAATATTGATATCACAACTTGTACAATAATCAGCTTAACCTTAACAAGTTAAACATTCATTTGAACATTCTATTTTAAAATTTAATTTTTAATACTTGAACATATTTCTGTGTTTGATTCAAAATATCCTGGTTTACATAAACATTTATTTCCTTGATAATACCTATTATGT